AGTTTTTGCACTGTGGTGTTGACATGCGGCTTTATCTTGTGGTAGCGGTTGTGTGCAGTGGTTACGTTAGAGCACGTAGTTGTTCCAAATTTCTTGTGCTGAAGCTTCGCTGTACACTCGCCATGTTGCGTTTCGTACTGTCATCCATTTTCGAGTTCTGCTCCTAACGAAAGAAACTGAGTTACACGTATTGCAAACTCTTATCTCTGAATACTCTGTCATCAGCTGACTGAACTTGTTGACGAACTCGAGCTAGGCGACTTCCGCGTGTTCTTCTGCAAGGAACGACCAAATTGTAGCGCTAACTTGCTGAGCTAATCGATCATAGCTTGTGATGGTTCGCACAGTCTCATCTTTCTCATTCCGATATTCCGCAAAGCAGACGAAGTTGAAACTGATCACTGCGTATTCATTGCAACCCAACGGGCAGCCCAAAACCAACACATCAATCGTATGCTCCTCAATGGCACGCACAAGCTCCAGCACAGGTGGCCTGTTATCTGTTCCGAACCGAGTGGGCAAAGTGATGTAATTGTAAAGAGGAACATTATTTGTCAGATCTTGTAGATAGGCTTTGAATTGTTCTCAGATCATCGGAGGAGTTTCTAAACAATGTACGTTGAAATCACGCATGATAAGAATGTGAGTGTGAAAATAAGGCAACCGTCTCTGTCTTTTAACTGCAAGCGGCACCAAAGAGAATCGTGCAACTGCGAGTCCGAATCCTCCATTGCTTGTCACTGTAAGTCATTTCGGTAATACAGAATTACCCTTTCTCTTTTTGTGAGTTATATCGTGCCGGAGGGGCGACATGCCTGGCAGCGAAACGGCAACGTCCGTCATTCCCGTGTGCAAAGACGTCTCAGTGTTACCAATGACATCATTTGACTCGGAAGCTTGGTGATGTGTCAGTTTGGCAAGTTTGTTAAAAACCCTTTCTATTTTATACAGGCAGTACAGTTGCTCGGTTGCTTGGAGCCCAAAGAGGGCTAAAGAAGTAAATGTGGGATAATACGGATGGAGGGGAGGTCGGAATTTACTCGCTGTTACGATGGGATAAAGATACCTCGTCTGCAACTAGATTCCGCTAAGGTGCGTCCTAATCTTTGTTTAAAACTACGCCAGCATCAACTGAAGCAGAGCGTCGCTTAAGCTAATGTTAATTATCTTCGATAGCGTATTCGCGTTTGTTGCATTTGCTTAAAAGTTTTTCCTGACGTCTTGAACCTTTCGCGGATTTATGGTCACTAATTTATTTCAAATGCTCATTTAATGAAGATATGCCAGCATATCTGTATGCATTATTCGATCTATTTTCTAGTTATGGTTGTCGTAAGTGATAGGCTGTTGGTTGATATCCCCGGGAGATAGTTGGTCGTTGCTGGAGGGACTGGGTGTACGGTCCTTGTGGTCGTGTTATGATCAAAAAGTGGTTCCATGCACTCAGCATGGAGTGGACTACGGTCCAGCAGCCGCTTTGCGTGCGCTTGATACACAATTACAGCCAGTCTGTGTTTGCGTTTGGAAGAGGGTGGATCGGCACCGTTGATGAAACGTAGATTCCATCCGCATGCCTCCCGGTCTTATTCTTTCGGGTTTACACTGGATATGGGGTGTGTGGTTGGAGCTATGGGTGATGCAGCGCAGGCCACCCATGGGCCCTATGTAGGCGCAGGCGTCCTGTGACTGGCCACAATGACATGCAAATTCAAAGCCGGATGCCGCCAACCATATGGGTGTTCAGAAGCAAACCGAAATTTTGCTTTAACCTCTGTTGCTCATTGCACCATATTTTAAGCAATTTCCCCCTCAAATTTTCCCCTTAAGTGGCAATGCACCAATCCCAACGGTGCTTTCATGTTCGGAAAGCCTCTTGGAACGCACTTTCTGGGATGACACGCAGGTTTGTCACATTGTCCTGAAGCTCTTTTTATTATTTGTAAACGATGTCCTTTCAATGTGGTTTTGAGAAACAGGAAAACGTCTTCAGAGGCAAGGTACGGAGTATACGGTGGATGGAGCACAACGGGTGTGATGTTTGCTAGATAACTGATGACAAGAGCGATGTGTGAGGCGGTACATTCCCATAATGCAACATCCAAGTCTGGTTTTGGCAATTTCAGGCCGCTTCATGCGCACAGCATCCCTCAAACGCGCTAGCATTTGATGACATGATTGTACGCTGATGCTCGGTTCGTCAGCAAGTTCTCGTACGCTTAAACGACGATTTCCAAGGATCATACACGACTGCCCCCGACATGATCATTGTCTGTTGATGTGGAAGTTCGTCCAGGCTTAGGAAGGTCATTAACTGACATCTTGACGTGTTCAAAACACTTAAACCCCTGATAGCATTGTATGCTACTCAAACACTCCTCTCCGTATGCTTGGTTAAGTAATTGTAATGTCACTGTACAGCTTTTGCCAAATGTATAGAAACTTTCACACACGCCCACTGATATTCATTCCCTTTCATTGTCATTATGGCACTACTCAGACGGAAAGCTTGTGCACGTACTTACTTCGGCTGCTGTAGCTCGCCAAATAAAATTTCCAGCAAAATGTGGGAAATGATATTTTTTTGTCTAAACAAGCCTCCACATGCACACAGTAGCCGTAGCGCGATCCTTCTGCCGGTTAGCGCACTATTTCTAAAGTACTGCTTCTTTTTGAACACCCCTGGTATATATATATATATGCTGAGGCTGATGTTGTATTCTTGATGCTTCTTCACCGCAGTTGGGCTAAAGCAACTTACACTTAAACTAGGTCTTTTTAAGCTGGCTAAATTTCATTCCGCTTTATTTGGTTTGTTCTGCCTCCCTGAATAATGTTCTATTAACTGGCCACGTTGCTTACACTAATTGCGCTTATCTTCGGTAATTTTGTTGCGTTTGTAGCATTTTAAGTAACTTGTGGACATTTCTTACTTATCACGGATTTGTTGCTAACCAACTTACTTCATATGGTAATTTAGCGAAGAGTTATGCCACCGTATCTGTATGCATTATTGGATTTATTTTATTTCAGCTTGTCGTTTAAAGTGAATGGCTGTTGTTTGATATCCCTGGTACAGGTGTGCTTGATGTGTATGTTGACAACGCGCCTACCTGTCTATTACCCACTACATCGTTCATAGTGGCTCCAGGAGACAGTTGGTCGTTGCTGGAGGGGACGGGGTGCACGGTTCTTGTGGCCGTGCTGGGCTCAAAGGGCGGTTCCATGCACTCAGTGTGGAGCGGACTACGGTCCAGCCACCGCCTTGTGTGCGGTTGATTCCCCAAATACTAGCGTGCTTGTGTTTGCCTGTGAAGGAGTGTGGGCCGGCTCCGTTGATGAAACATGGCTCCCATCCGCATGCCTCCCGGTCTTACTCCTTCGGGTTTACACTGGATATGGGGGTATGTGGTTGGAGCTGTGGGTGGTGCAGCGCAAGCCATCCATGGTCCCTCTGTAGGCGCAGGCGTCCTGTGGCTTGCCACAGTGACAGGCAAATCCGGAACCGGATGCCGCCAACCATATATATATATATATATATATATATATATATATATATATATATATATATATATATATATATATATATATATATATATATATATATATATATATATATATATATATATATATAGGCTCCAAGCGGTTGACATCAATGAGAACACCCAGCTGAAAATATTGATTCATTTAGAGGGCCTCTGGATGAGTTAATCCCTCGTCAGTTAATAGATAGAAAGATTAACCGCCTTCCACTAGTAAAACTGAAACTATAAGTAAGTTAATTTGTAAGCACGGACGTGGTAAAGCAAGTATAAAAATCCCAAGTAGATTCAGCCTGAGGTGTGCTTATCAAAAGCTACAAATTCCATTGCAAGCAGTGTGTTTGTAATAGTTACATATGGTGGCCAGTCTACTGGCAGCATGGAGAATTCTAAAGCCGAAAATCCAATGCGTATGGCTTAGGCGAACAGTGGAAAACGTTTTATTTGTGTACACATACCATTCGTTCACTCATGGTTTTAGAACGATTACCATACTAAGACTGCTATGGTAAACTAGGACTACATACCTTGTGCTATAGTCGACCGCGAGTCGATCTCATCTTGACCCACCGCATACCAAATCTCGGTGAATGCCCCATGTTGAGGCCGATACTTCAATTGCGAACACCATGCACCACACGCGGTCACCGGTATAAGCATGTAATACCGGAGCTAAAGCGGATTCACCATACCTTGTGCTTCGAACGGAGAGTGTATAGAACAGTCGGCCAGAACAAGTCGCGGGGACCAAATCTGTGCAACAGTTTAAAACACTGTTGGATTTGCATTTCACCGTCATTCGAATCGAAGAACTTGCACAGTGGCAATGACCTCTTACATTTGTGAGTCTAATGCTACTGTAACAGACAATTTTCAAGGCAACATAGGAAACTGAAGAATGATTAGAACCTAAACAGGTGATTTATGATTTTTAATACAAGTCTGATCATACTCCGATGGGATTGTGCCGATATAGATATCTACTTGCCCTCACTTCATTCCCTACTTATTGTGTTTTACATCACCTTGATGTTGAATGTACTCATTTGACTCTGTTTCTTGATGGTAGTTTTATGTGGTGGATGCTGCTTTGTTTAGAATACTTTAACTTGCGACCTCCCGTATTTCCATGCTACTCACATGTCGATTGTTCTCGGGTTTGCTGCTATTCCGATAGCTAACCAGGTTGGTGCTCACAGATAAGATGAGTTTTTACTACTAACGCGCTATTCATAGGGTTTGAGTTCACAGTATCCCAATCTTTGGTTACCAGCTGACCGAATTTTGCACTTTGTTTATTGCTCTCGTTTACAGCAACTGTCATAATATAGTTTAAACTGACGCAAAAATCACCGTCCCTACTTCAGCAAATGCGTCTTCGATACTCAACTACAATGCTTATGTGAACGCACTTTAACGGAGTTCACGTGATACACGCGGCTGACTTGCTTCGGAACAACCGGGCTGCCGAACTGCAGGACTCTCGTGTTGACCAATCAGAGGAGGAATATTGATTTTCTTGTTGTTGGCCTCGGTTTCACATTCCGGCATTTCAGCCTCATCGTTAGCAGGAGTCAAAATGAGTCTAGGTTTGACATTAAGAGAATTGCTCGCATTAACAGAATCTGCCGCACCGAACGCGACTAAATGGGGCGAAATCGATAAGGTATTACGTCTGCTGTATGAACGTTACACGGTAAGCCCGTATGTTGTCATTTAGTTTGGGCCATACTTCGAATGCCTAACAGTTCCATATTCCTCAGTCTACCCGATCCTTTTGAGCGTGTCAACTGTCCCGAGCTCAGTAACGTTGCAAGCTCTCGTATCGATCATTTTCAGCTTTCTGAAGATGGCGGCGTTTACGCTGAACACGTGTTGATTCAGTTTGGACGCTGTGTGCATTTCTGTTTTAGTTAGCCCTATTTCAAAGAGCCATTAGCTTATGGATAAAAATGTTTACTTAGACCGCAATACACTTGTCAACTCAACACTAAGAGGTATTTGCAAACCATTTCAATTATGATCTGAACAGCTTCGCTAACCCGAGTCTCACATCAATGAGAACACACCTGTTACTCTGCTCAATAGTAGGACACCCTATTGATTAAGCTTTGGAGTTCTTGATGGGGAAGTACTAAGCCTTGCAGGAAAACAATCAATAGATACTGTAAGTCGTATTGTAGTAAGCTATAATGCTGTATAGCGTCAGCTGTCAACTTATCTTGCTCTATTTCCAGTTCCACCGTTAAAGCACCACGGTGTTCGAATACCAGCGGTTGGCATCATCATTGAGTATTTATCAGTCGCAAGGGTGCAATAAATGTGCAATGGTCAAACACGTCTGATCAGAATATATACGTCTGGAGCATGTGTCGTTTTGTAAAGTTAACGCAGCGGAAGAACCAGATTTACTTTACGTCACGTCAGCTTTGGTCAAGTCACGTTCCAAGGAAGAAATGAGCTTCAAATTAACGAGAGTCCTGGTTTGTGTACCGGTAAACAAACCAGGCCTCCAGGCAGTTTGACGTTTGGGTTGCTCCCTTTGATTTCGCAAAAGAAGTGAAGCAAGTACAAAAGTGACCTCTGAAATTTTTGAATCATGGACTACGATTTCCAAAAAGAATCACACCAATTCTGGGAACAAATTCGGCCAACAGCTACCTAGGCATTTTTAAAGACTTCCACAGTTATAACTCTCATTGTGACAGAAGAAAGCTTGTTCCACTTATACACCGAATTATATTCAGATAAATGTGCTTTAATTTCAAGTCTCAGCACGTGGTCGGATGTAGCTATTTCACGCAGGCCGCAAGGCTTATATCATTGAGGCCCTTCATAACCTTTACCATTCCTAACAGGTCGGTTCTTACTATGCGTCGTTCCAAGGAAACTCATCCCCTTACCATTAGGTGTTTATCATCTGATCGTGCACAATGGCCCTCAAAAATCCTAGTCTCCAGTTTCAGGGCATTTTCCTCAAAAGCAACACCAATTCATTTTTAATTCGCTCTTCCTTGACTCTTTCACATGGCTCCGCGCAACCCGTTATCGTGAACTGGAAAATATAGAGTCTTTGAAAAACGTTTGCTGTGTAGGCTAAGAAATTGGATGAAAATAGGCATGCAAAATAGGCACTACGAGGTCTGGTAAAAATAGATGCGAGTGATATCATTTGCAGAATAAAGCAAACAACGGAGGTCCCTTTTGGTATATGCTAATTGAATATTGTGTAATATTTTATAACGAGTTAAAAAACTGCTTTGCAAGCCCCTGAAATGATTTGTACGATGTTTCATTTGAGTGCAAATTATTCATAGTTTGGCAGATGGCCAAAATTTCCCGGAACATTTGGGATTATAATTATGTTCGCTGCGTTGTTTAACGGTAGATGTAGGTGATTATAAGTAAAACTGCGATTGTATTTATGGAGTGGAAAGGAAACATTACTAACCGACGAGATATAGGTGACTGAATGTGTCATCCAGACATCTTTTACAATGGTTACCGTGTGGGTCAGTATGCCACAGACCTATGGATTGCCATCCATGCATGACATCTACTAACAAAAGTAATTTTCTGCTGAACTGCGATAGACGGCACTTATCCGGCGTTTTCTGGGAGTGGCTCCTCATTTTGGTAGTACAGCGGATCTGTAGTACCGTGAAAAATTCAGCAAGGCCATGGTCTGATCGCCTCATAGGCGAAGCCAAAGTTCACGGACCACTGGCTAACATCTCGTTCTCTGCTCGTGGGTGAAAGTGCCCATTACACTAAGGTATTTGGAAGACCCGCGTTGAGATTATTTTGGGGTAGTCCGAGCTTGGTTTAACCTTGGTTTCCAGGATTGAGTTGTGTATTCATCATGAGGATAAACACAGACGTTGAGCAATTTGCAACAAACAGAGTGTTTAGGTGTCCGAATGTACTTTTAACAATTTTACGGAGACGACAAGATTGTAGCTTTTTACGGGAACTGCTTTCACCGTACCCATAGTAGCGACGAATGAACTGTCAACAGCTTCACATTTTCTAGCTACTGTGAGTTTCGTGCGTCCGTGATGTGGTTGCGCGCACTGAATTCAAGTCGATAACTAATTCAAATTAACACGATATGAAAATCGCATCTAGTGGGGCAAGTATTTCATGTGGACCTTTCATAAGAAGAATAATAACGCAGAAACAACTGTCTTACCTTTAAAACCAAGGCGGATGAGCTTTTAACAAAAAAACTGACGCAATCGATAAGTAACACCTTTCCGGCTGCGGAATTACGATGCATCTTCACCACGAACCATCTAATTCCTGTGTGCAACAAGGACAGACTGCCGAAGCTGACCGCTTCTTAACTTATCAATCGATTTAAGTTCACTTCTGGGGCATAATATATAGATTAGACGGTTCGTCAACTGTCACGTCGCATTAAGGAACACAGCCGTAAATAGTTGGTGAACGGGGACACCGGAGTTTTTACAAGCGGTATTTGGTCTCATCTGTTCGAATCTGGTCACCAGATTAACCTTCCGGATGCCTGTACAGTGAATTATCTGGTTCCAATGAGCAAATCGAAAGGTACGCGGTTAAGGATGCTCGCCACTGCAGAGACCATTGTGATCCGCATATTTCAGCCCCTATTGTGCTCGCAAAAGTGTCTGTTAAATATCTGTCCTGGTCGGACAGCCATCAGCCTAGCCGTCACCCTGACGTCGGCTCAGGCAATGCGATTAGGTAACCCTCAATCGACCTGTGTGTATAAGACAGCGGCGAACTATTCCCTGTCTAACCATTGGTAGAGACATTTCAGAACAAACCAGCGAACCGATTGCTATTCATCCCGTTGTAGTTCAACCTTATATGATTTTACCGGCCCATAGATGAATCATTGAAAACAATTGTTTGCCTCAGACTGGTGTTCTTGGTGAATCACTGAGAATGTTCCATATGTTATATCCTTTTCCGTGGCATTCGGACCATACACATTTGCACAAAATTTTCACCGAAAGAATATCTCCTGTGGTATCTGCGCTTTGACCTAGAATACAATCATCCTAGGTTTAACCTCTCTCACTTGACTGTAACACAGATTTAATTAATTCCTCTGATATTCTTTAGTTTGCTTACAGCAACTGATTAGAGAATAGGCTTGTATCAAAGGGTCCATCAGTTAAATTGTAATGTATCGCAAAATGGGTTTCATTTCTAAATCGTCGCTCATCTTGACTTGACTCATCCACTTGCTATTTTACCTGTGATCTCATGCTCTTAAATGCCTCTCTTTTTAAAGTTTGCGCTACAAAGTGGATGAAGATGGCAAAGTCCTGCGGTAACTTTCATTGGACGAAATACCATTGTTCCCTGACACGAGAGACCGTCATGTAACAAGTTCTCGGAGTTGCGTGTGTCAATCACTATTATTAGTGCTTGGGTGCAACACTTGTATCCTCAAACAATGCAGTAAAGCAAAGCTTTCGATTTCAACCTTGCACCACGATATTTATGGATTTGGTCACAGATATACGCTTAATATGAGAGCTAACGATTCTTTAGAATAGTAGCGAGTTGTAGGAATCCGTCTTTACATATAGTAGCAGGATACATGCGAACTTACATCAAAGTGCAGAATTATTTACCTTTTTATGGTGATTCAGTAAACTAGCCTACAAGATCGCGTATGTCCTCCATTTGCGCAGTATATGAAGAAACGAGTTTTTAAGACTGGAGAAATTCCTGTTTGCCTCTACGTACAACGGCCGTTAACCATACTCTTACTGTTAAGGAATATAGTGTGTATGTGTGTGTGGCCAACATACCCGGTTGCCTCCCGCTACACATATACTGCTGACAACACCTAAAAGTCCCTTGGCTCTAAGTTATGCTGAAGGACGTTATCATATTTACAACTTACCGCTTGTTATGCCTGTACGCTCTCACCCTGTTTTATATGGTATTTGTAACTGCATCGGTGATTATCAGTAATCCATTCTCGTTCCACCTCCAAGCGCGTTCAAGATGAACAACTGCGTCGGTTGGAGGAATTAGAGAGGGACCGCATACTTAAACTGACAGCGGACAGTATGTTGACACGTTCAGACTCATCAACGCGTGCTAAACCGCGTGCATACAAAGCAAAAATTCATACCGGGCAACTAACAAAGCTCACCTGGATGGAAAGGCAAAAGCCTGGCTATGATCCGCCACCAGAAAATGCCCGCAAACGAAAGGTACGACCATTGAACACAGTTGTTATTGTGTTGTTTTACCTTTTCCTTTTTTCCTTTTTCCTTTTTTGCAAACTGATCACTGAGTGTGTGAGGTTGGTACGATGATAAATGAGAATTATATATTTGTATCGGTGTTTATTAGGCAATGAATATGATTTTGCTGACTGAAAAGCGGATGAGTAAATGAAAAATGCATTCGTCAGCCGAATGTTAATTAAATCTTAATGAGAGGAAAATATTTGCCCTGGTGGAATATACTTGGAACTGATCTGGAATGAACCCTTAACAAACTCAGAGCAGAATGAGTACTATCTCAGCTATACCTGTCCAATGAAAAATGAACAACGAATTTATACGGGTTAAGAAGCGTTGCTTTACAAGTCCCGTTGGATAGTTGGTGGGGATATCAACAAAACAATAATGATGATAAGGAGAGTAAAACAGTTAATACTTTAAATATGAAAATAAGGATTTATCGTTTGCTCTGCTGCAGTCCTGCGATCCTCTTAGATGCACAGCACCCGCAGTTAACAATAAATAATTCCATGGTAAACTCCAGGTGTAGGATGGAGACGTAGTGTTAAGTGACAAAGTGTAAGCGGATGAGTGCATCGTCCCAACCGTCTTTTAAATATTGTTAGTGTCGGTGCAGAGACGACCGATTCTGGGAGAGCATTCCATGAGTGACAGACACGAATAGGAAAGGACATTACTGCGGCACTCCAGACGACAGTATTGTTCTGTGAGTTATAATGAGTGGCCCCTCAGGTTTGTATTGCTGCTGAGTTGCAGTAAAGGGCGGCACACATGATGTGGGTCTCGCAGAATCAAGTATGCCATAATAACGTCGCCTGGTAGTCTGCGATAGCTTCCACTGAACAATCCCAATCGTTGCAGCCTCTCCTGGTAGGAAAGATTGCGCATTCCAGTTACTTTCTTAGATGCCCGGCGTTGTGGCTGCTGCAGTGCAGTAAGATCGTGTTTCGGCCATAGATGCCAGGCTTGAATAGCGTATTCAACATGGGGGCGAACATACGCACTGAGCATTTGTCGAAATAGGGTGCTGTTTATTTGTCCAAACGCCCGCCGCAACATCCTGAGGTGTTGGTTCCCGATCTTCGAGGCCTTTTCGGATTGCCTGGAGCAACCCAAGTCATCTTGAACCACGGCACCCAAGTCACGTTCGACAGCTGCTTGTTGTAGTATATTCGTTCCGAGTCGGTATGAGTAGCTGCCGTGATGTCGGATGGAAAGCATCTTGCATTTACTGACGCAGAAATGCAATAGGTTTTGGGTCGACCACTGATCCACCGTATATAGGTCGCTCTGAATCATATATTTTACGGCGTTCGCCTGGATCCTGTGCCAGATCTTGATATCGTCGGCAAACATTAAGAAGTTTGAAGCGATTCCTTATGCATGATCATTAATAAACACCAAAAGCATACGTGGACCTAGAACTGAGTCTTGCGGCACACCACACTAAACTTGTACGGGGTTGGATAAAGAGCTCCGAAATCTGACCACTAATTGCCGTTGAAGTTGAAAGTTGGCAATCCAGCTTAGAAGAGGGTCGCCAATTCCGTAGCGCTGCAGCTTGGCTAGTAGTATCCGATGGTCTGGATGATCGAAAGCCATGGAAAAATGCAGGTAGACCACATCAACACCTTCTCCAGCGTCAGCTGCCTCGGTCCAACTGCCGCGTGCAATTCGTAAATTCGTTATACATGACCGCTCTAGACGGAAACCGTGCTGCTCAGGAGTGATGATGTTACACGTTTCCAGATAGCACACCAGCACATTGGCAGCTATGGATTCCATGACCTTAGAGACTATAGGAAGAAGGGATACTGGGCGGTAGTTGAAGGGATCAGTTCTGCGTCCACCCTCGTGAATCGGAGTTATTATTCCAAGCTTCCACATGGCGGGAACTTGGTTCTAGTCTAAGCAGCCCTGGAAAAACTGAGCTAAAGGTCCTGCCAGTTGGCCTGCTACTGCATCCAATGCCTCTGAACGAATGGTGTCGACACCCGCCGAGCTATGTTTGCGTAGATACGTCAGCTTTTGCAATACAGCCTCTGCGGTAAAAGTGATTTGGGTTACTCCTGGCAAGAAGCATAAAAAGCTTTTTAGATCGCCTGGTGGCAGGACCCTTTCGAAACGTGGGAGCGTATCGCATCAGCAGCGCTTTTGCTGCTTCCGCAGCCGTTCTTGTTGGGCCAACAGCAGTCCTGATTGAAGGAAATCCTTGCATCACCTTTCGTAAGCTATTAACGTGTTTGTACAGCAGTTTGTGGTTAGCACTGATGGTTTTTGCGATGTTCTGCTGATAGGCAGTTTTGCCTTCCCTTAACAGTTGAATGCAGTGGTTACGTTGGGCTACGTAGTTCTCCCAGTTTTCTTGTGCTGGAGCTGCGTTGCGTACTGTCATCCATTTTCGGGTTCTGCTCCTAACGTAAGAAACTGACTTACTCTTATAGCAAACTTTTATTTCTGAATCCTGTGCAATCAGCTGACTGAATTTTTTTCATACTCGAGCCAGGCGACTTCCGGGGTTTCTCTTCGAGGAACGACCAAGTTGTAGCAATGACGAGCTGGACGAGTCGGTCGTAACTTGTGGTGGTTCGCACAGTCTCATCGTTCTCATTCAGATACTCTGCATGACAGATGAAGTTGAAACTGATCACGGCGTGATCACTGCTAAATAAAGGGCAGCCTAAAACCAACACATGAATCGTACGCTCCTCGATGGTAAACACAAGCTCCAGCACAGATGACCTGTTATCAATTCTGAACTTAGTGGGCAAAGTGATGTGATTGTAAAGTGGAACATTAGTTACTAGATCTTGTAGATTGGCTTTGAATTGTTCTCCGATCGTGGCTGGAGTTTCTAAACAATGTACGTTGAAATCACCCATGATAAGAATGTGAGTGTACTTTAGTTGTAAACTCTACCTTATAGCAGCCGTTAGGTGGTAGTCGGTTCCGGGTGTTGAGTTAGGGGCGCGGTATACCAGGACCATAAGTCAATTGCCCCTGCCTTTTAACTGCAAGCGCCACCAAAGAGAGTCGGGGAACTGCGAGTCTGAATCCTTCACAGCTGCGCACTGTAAGTCGTTTCGGTAATACAGGATTACCCCTCCTCCTTTTGTGAGCCTGTCGTTCCCGACCAGTGACATGCCCGGTAGCAACACTTCAGTGTGAGTTATTGCTCGGTAGTGGTACTCCACCACCTGGACGCTTTCGTCCAAAAATTGATAAACGCTGTCCGAAGATGGTGGCATTCAATATGTATATGATATAAACATCAGATGCATAATACCAACCTAGGAGTAGGAGTGGTAGTGGTTGTGGTACTAGTAATAGTAGTAGGAGTAGTAGTGGCAGTATTAATAGTAGTAGTATGAGGAGGAGTAGCAGTACTACTAATAGTAGTAGCACTAGTAGTAATAGTAGTAGTAATAGTAGTAGGAGTGGTAGTGGTAGTAGTAGTAATAATAATAGTAATAGTAGTAGTGGTGGTGGGAGTGGTAGTAGTAGTAGTAGTAGTAGTAGTAGTAGTAGTAGTAATAGTAGTGGTAGGAGTGGTAGTAGTAATAGTAGTAGGAGTAAGAGAGGTGGTAGTAGTGGTAGTAGTAGTAGTAGTACTAATAGTAGTAGTAGTATTACCAGCAGTCTATCAAACAGACATTGCCAAACATAACCATGCAAAGCACTAAAAGAAGACAGGTTGAACACCCCATCAGCATCATCGCACATTAACTGAACATCAGTAACACACTTCAGCTATTGTGCCGCAATATGAAACACGACGGAGCGTTTTTGTTATTTTGCACACGCCTTTTGTTATATTTTTTCGCCGTTTCTAATCGTTAAGCATTAACTATCTAAATCTAAGCAGTTATAAACACAGAGCCGCCACTGGGTTCGATTGCGAGCCATATCCTGAATTTTTTCGAACCATCGGCACTCCTCGTCCTTTGGTCCCCAACCAGGCAGATGTGTACACCCAATGATGGCAAGACGTGAAGTCAGCGAGTTCGTTTGCCGTCGCAAAGTGGATGGTAGACCACCATGTGATTTCTTCGGTTGAGTCCTGCACGAGCAAATATAGCGCAACAGGGCAAACGTTCAGCTGATATACGCAGTGCATGACCGAGGCATCTTAACTGGCGCAGCAAAACCAGTTTGATGAAGGGAATACTCGCAATCATTTCAGACACAGCGCCTGACTTCAAATGTGGTGTTGCCACCACTCATGAGCAATCCTCCTCAAGCACCCGTTTTCGAAGGAAGAGAGCCGGTGTATATCGTCTACGCGAAGTGGTCATGACTCTTTTCCATAAAGCAACACCGCCCGAACGGTGGCATTGTAAGCACGACCCTTTACCAAGAAGGAGATATCTCGGCGACGCCACAAGTGCTGCAGGTTGATAAACACCGACCGACCATTGGCGATGTGAAGATAAAATTACTTCCAATGGTACCACCAGCAGACCCACAGCTGCCAACGTAGACAAAACTGTGTACTTCAGTATAGAGCACGGAAACTGTTGAGTGTCAATCCTGAAGCAGCAATTTACACTTTGACTGGGAAAAGCACATTCGTACCTAGGTGTTTCAATCGTCCAGCGGTCTAGAATGTTTTCCATGCTCTGTGAGTCACCACCTAGTAAGGTGATATCATCGGCGTAATCTAAGTCGGTTGCTCGCTTGCCAAGTGATAGCTGTATACCAAAATTTTGGCAACCATCTAGAGTTCTCGACAAGATGTCTTAATTACAAATGTGAAGAAGGACGTGGACATTGGGCAGCCTTGTGTTCCACCGCTAATGACAGCGAAGGACGATGAAAACCTGTCATACACCTTCACTCGGCCAGATGTGGAAATACAGTGCACGTAGGATGAGAGTGTACTTTTCAGGGACACCGGTCCTTAGCAAACAACGTCATAGTGCAGCTCGATCAACCGAGTGTTGCTTCGGCTTTGCTACTTAGCGCTACACCAACGTCAGTCAAGTCTGTCGCAGTTGCTTATGCATTACCAAATAGACGTAGGTGAAATATGGCTCCGTGGTCGGTGGGAGATCTCAACTCAATCACAGTACTAGGATCTTGTAAGCGCGCTTCGGAAAGACAGCAAACATCGATGGTTAGGTATTCCAGGGTGTGCGCAAGATCAGCTTGCTGCTCCGTCTGCATGAGTGTATGTGTACTGAAGAAAGCCAGACGGGACGAAGACCGAGGCCGTAGTAGGGCGACTGGGCGAGCTCTATTAGTGTTAACAAAAGCATCCGGAGTAGAATCATGGAAACAAGAATCATTTGGTAACGGAAAATACTAATGGGTAACAAATGAACAGGTGGCATGTGAAGGTGAGTGACGAGCAGTAGCAAAAGCAGTTGAGAGGGATATTGCAGTTGAACAGTCCATGGTTTTGTCAGTGGGCGTGATACTACCTGGTTGCCCAAGCCGAATTAGGAAGTTGTCTTAGGGGACTCCATTCCGAGCCTTTGGCTAGATAGGCTGCCCGCTAGGCAGAGGGGAGATTGTGAGACTGAGTTAGTCTGAACCCTAACCATTGACCTGTCTGGTATGAGTGGCAATGAATGCACTTGCAAGTGCCACCCAGCGTAGCTCATTGGGTTACAGGGGCACATAAACAATGGCACCACGTTAATGTCCAGTCTCGTTAAATAAAATCTTACTGAGCACAAAAATGAAAACGGTATCAACATTACATACCGTCTTATCGATCAGTATGATACGCGATTTATTTAAAGGATCGTGGTTCTGATTGATAATTTGTACAGCAAACTGATCGAGAGATCCCAATACTACTTTCGTACTAGGTACTCACAGTAAGTGTTTAGGGCTGTATCCGAAATCTGCACCCAAACTACGTTGTGGTGCTAGGTTATGTTGTACTAAGCTTCTACCTGAATTGGACAACGTGAAGGTAACGTTGGATCTACTACTGGATACACCAAGATACATATTTACCAAGTTCCCCTTTACTGGGGTGTTGAGTTTTGTCTAACAAACAAGTACGTCTGTTTCGTACTACTTGCAACATGTAAGCTATGATATTCACACCCGCGTTTAACTCATTAACTCAAATGCAGCAGTTCGCCTGTTCGGATTGAACTCCCATGACACAATCCTGCTGGCCAGTCATGTTGTTCTTAGTTACTCAATCGAAAGTGCTTCAGCACCTTGATTTGTACGGCTGTAAAGCCCTGCGCTTGACGGAGCAGAGAAAGAGCAAAGAAGGGCTTTCATTCGTCCAAACCATTCAGCCCGTTTGCGCACGTTAACCGTAGAGCACTTTCACACCTTGAGATAACCTGCTCCGTTTCATAATACTCAGATTCATCTAAATGTACACGTCAATCGGCAAATTTCGATTATGACGCTCAATCATTTTCAAGCTGCTACCTAGTGCTAATATTTGCCAAGCAGACGTAGGAAATACCAGCCCGAGCAAGCTAAGCATATCAGTAATACTGGTAGTGGTAAAACAAAAGCCAACCGAAGTGAACTAGTGATGCCACGTTTTGGAAACCGGCTACGACCACTCGACCGTTTACATTTCCGGTTAAAGCAGAGGAACCGCTTCACATATATAGTAGAATGAATGCGACTGCTATCAACTGTGCATTCAACTGAAGTAGCATCAACATATGCCAATTGTGTTCTCGCATTTGTCAGTACGACAGTTTCAGTGGATGGAACAAGCTATGTATAAGAAACTCAAAATTGGGTGAAGGCGAATTCCGATTAATTGAGACTCGTTGGTTAACAGTCTGCAAGAACTCAACATCATCAAGCTGGGCCAACTATTCGATATTTCAACTTATACAGGCCGTCAACAATTACTTTTTCCTTTCTAAAACCATCTAAGGTTTTTGGTTTTGAAGTAGCGATCGCTCTTAATGACGAAACCAGTCATCTTTTCCTTCTGTAATGTTATTGTTAAATAGTGCCGAATCTTTGTTTAAATAGATAACGGATAGTGGAAGAACCGGAAGCCCCGATGTCACAGACAGTAAACGCAAAACAAGAGTGGATCAAGCTGAACAGCCAACAAAGATAGCTAAAGTTGATCAGGAGGCATATTTACATCTACCGTTGTGGATGGTGCGCAATCCTACGGAAGAAATGCGAGCATTTTTACAAACACAAGTAAGCGAACAGTGTAAATTCTACACCGGCCGTCTATCGACCAACATTCACTCATCCACCTCGCTTGAGTTTCCAGTCGTCAATCATGCGTTTTTATCCCCTTTCTCTTCATTGTACGACCGTGAAATTTCGTTTGTACTTATACACTAGGCGGGTGCATGTCAGGCAGAACACTTGTCGAAAAGTTTGTTTTTCCTATAAACGAACTTAAGGCCAACCATCCCGCATGCTGTTTTACAAGCCAACACAAATTTGACTCATCCAATTTATCGCTCCTACTACATCATTGTTACAAAGCTTCACCAATACATTCTAACATTGATGGCCACGAAAACTGTAAATTATCATTTTTGCCTTGGAAATTCCTGCGGCGGTTGTTAAGCATTGATGTTATATGGATCGTGCATCACTGTTCAATGACAATCGCATTTGAACAACAAAATATCTAGTAATTCACTTTGGCATGACGTTGACAGTTATTATGCTCTTGGGGGTGACATATCAGCAAACAGTAAATTATCACAATCTATGTTTAATGGCACATCATAAATCTGAGGAAGCTTAATAGCAGTCATATCAGCATTGAATAGACTTTTCCATATATATTTCAGTGTTAACCTAACTGAACCCATTGGAGGAGTTTTCGTTAACATAGGTATGTCCGTGTTCTTACTTTTAAGGATTGTTCGCGTTTGTATCAACTTGGACCCCCACTGGTTTTTCATTGAAATGAGCTGGAAAACTCTCGGCTAACTGCCGAACGTGGATCAAACTCAGCCTTGTACGCTGTAGATCAAGCAGAAAGTAACTTAAAGTGCGGTTGTTACAATTCTACATCATGCTGAATCATTTACTGAATATTTAATTATCTTTTCGAGCGACATGTAAATGATATACGAAACGTCGTCTGTCATTGTACATTCGAAATCTTACAGGCAATCTTTTACAAGATTACACCAACTTTCGCACGCCTTGTCTTTTTTGTCTTCTGAGCCAGTTGGCTTGTTAGAGTGACAAAGTGACAGATAGATTGTAGGGACCATCCTGACCTCCAGCTGTCCCGGTTGACAGCCATTTGGGTTTGTTTTTAGTCGCTGTTATAAATATATATAAAAAGTGAAAGTATATCGATTAAAAGGTCTAAGCATGAAAGTATATTTTATCATTCATCGTTATTGCCACCATCCGCAACGTGGGAAGTCTGCCTATTTGTATAATCGCACATCTGATCAATGCAACCTACCGAATGATGTACGCCGGAGTGACAGTTAAAGCATCCCGAACGAACGATTTTTGTACTGCTGCACAAGTAATAGTCACTATAAATTGTGAGCGGACTTATATACTAAGAAAGACTTTAAGACGCTTCATGCTTCTATTTCTGCTGACAGCAAACGATAGTAGTAGTAGCAAAGCAAAATGCATTTCAGCATGTCTTATGGACACTTTGATAAAAATGTTTCTGGGATGACCGAAGAGCAGAAGCAGACGAATGGGTGATTCTAGTGAACATCGCTAGATTACCCTTACTGAGAGCGGAACCAGTAGCGAGGACCAGAATGGGAAGTCTCCTTAAGTGGTTACCTTGAGCAGTACTTTTGGGCAATGCTACCCACTTAAAATACCTAGTATTTGTCATTGATGTAGCTATATTGCATTTACTCAGTTTTCCGCAACACCAATTCCTTTGTGGTTGTACATGCCAATATGTAGCTGATGATGTTCCGTTGATGTGCATGCCAGTAATATGAATTTGTTGTGACAGTGGAATGAAGGAGTAGTTAAATCTAGCACGATTACTCTACGCAAATCTGCGTTTTACCTTCTCTCCCCCACATTTTACGTAAATATCCAGTGCTAACAAAACAGGTTATACCAGCACCTAAATTGGTAACCTAACTTGGCGCGCAAACGACGATTATTTAAAACTAGCGTCATTAGAGGATCATTTGGTGTACACGTAGTGTGATGGTTTGCGACGCGCAATCTCAGTGTAGACAGCGATTCACAATAATAAAAAAAGCTTTGGCTAGTGCGTGCATTGGAACCGTAGCTGAATCAGATGGAAATTGAGTGTTCCTCGCTGGAAAACTGCACAGCCACGTTGCGTTTCGATTTCCTTTGGTCTCATCATGCAGAAGTAGCAGGCCTCGGACCCGCGACCACTGGAACACCTTGAGCGCCGCAGTCCAACTACATGACGTGTACTCCAATATTTCACTACAGTCAGTCATTAACCGTGGTACCAAACGTTGCGGTGGTGAATCGGTAGGCAAAAATCTCGGTTACTACTATTACAGCCGCGGATGAAAGGCCTATTATATCAACCTGATGGGGTCAAAGAAGATCGAAAACCTATTAATTGCTTCCAATAACTTCAGCCACCAACAACCAAGGGTTCGTGAACAAGATATAGGTTTACAATAGCATATCAAACCCATCGGCATGAGTAGTATAACAGCTTGGAGTACGTAACTGCAACATGTACCGGGAACTCAAACTACATTACAATGGTGGAACGGTTAGGAACCGCTTGGCTCATCCTCGCGTGGAGGGCTAGCTGCAACGTTTTCAGCAATATAGCGATCTGTATGGACTCGGTGCGCATCAGCCCATGAAACAAGTGAGCTGGATTGAAAAGCGCGCATTTATCTTTGTTTCAAGCATTTCATTAATCCCGTTCTCTGCAGTCATGGATGAATAAAAGCAGCTCATAATGCATTTTGCTGGTATTTATTATGTGTTTTCACTACTAATAAGTAGTATAAAATAACAAATATAACAGATGTAATTTGTGGAAACCATGAGCTTGCTGAATGCGATGTACAATGTAGCCGGGTTGTGTCGACCGACTGTCATGGACGCAACGTAAATTGCCGCTCCTTGCGCGCCCTGAGGAAACCCCGAAGAATTCTAACGGCAGTCCGGAGATCCAATCGAATCTCACACGATGCACTACTCAGTAAATGCGGCGTCTGCGTACCGCAACTTGCACAGCGCTTCACATGATGAGGCGCAGACTATGGATATTTGAATGATCCACACCTACTGGTGAGTGTTTGAGAACAGAATGTTTCGAGAAACACTGGACGCGTGTGGGCTCTGTACTGGCCAATGTTTAGCCGTTGCACTAACTTACCATTACGTAGAGGATCTACTGTGGTAAAATTGTACATCGCGTTGGTGCACGACCGTACACGTGGCACACAACTACTGCTATTCCATCACAGTTATGTTCCCAATGAATTGTACAGACAGACGTATTAGCAAGATGGAAGCAAGAATGAGGTGCATGAGGCTAAGCGCATTGAATTTTGCATAGCTGCACGCAAGAGAACGGATGCGGGAGCAGCATTGACTCCGACAATTCACCACGTCCGATAGAGTCTGTAACCATTGTTTTGGACTAGCACGAGACCCTTTCCATGACGACGGCACGTACCTGTTTGGCCAAGCCTATCGGTCATTTTGGGAGTGAAGCATGTGGAATTTATCATAGTTTTATTAGGCTTCGTTATCATGCATGCTATTAATGGCACCAAAATATATTAATAAGATAATGCAGTTAACCCCAACATATCTGTTCTATCATAGTGAGCAGTCTGAGATTGCGTATTCGACCTCACTTTATGTTAAACTTTAAGATTTCTACACTGAAATAGTTTTCACAGGTTATGGGTCGTTCTCGTCTTTTTTTTCTACTCAACACAAGCAGTCTTGTATCGCGTGTAGGTTTCCCATGTTTGAATTGGCGGTCACAACGGTTAACCCGCTCACAACTGGGATCTGATTATGAATTCACAAGACCACTCACCAAGCAATTAGTGCATATTGTTGTCATTTGAGTGAAACATATTGTCTAATTTTGTGGGTGAGCGGCATACCGCCTAGACTTTCTCATGATCTCACACCCAATTTCAACTCCTGAGAACTACTTTTATCGTTTTGAGGTGCATTGGCTCAAACACGGACCATCTTCACAGCAAAGTACCCATTCACATTCATTGAAAGAACGCAATCTTCGTCGGTTTCATACACCCCAGGTTCAAGTAATGCATCCAAACGATCCGAATAAAGGGAATACACTTTGCGCTTGGTTTTTGGATCATATGTGCACTTACTCCGTAACTTTTTAAGGACGAGTCCGTTTTCATTTGTATGGAACGGACAAACAACATTTTTGAGTTAGTTCAAATCCACAGATACACAACGTCACGTATTCAGCATAGTGCCAAGCTGATGGTCTGGGCTGGAATGACCAGTGAGAAAATTGTTGAACCATTTTTCTTCCCCAATAATGTGACCGGCAATTTGTTTTAGATCATGCAACCTTTACTCTTGCTAGCATCCTAATGGAAGGAATTGCTCCATACTTGCGTACTGCCACAGTTAGAGGCGGGTGGAGTTCGCAGTACCATATGGTTGCTGCATGACGGTGCGCCAGCACATTATGCGCAATCGGTGAGAGAATATTTCTGCGAGAATTTCGGTCGACGTTGGATCGGTCGTGGAGGCTCAGGGATTGGCCCCCCACCGTAGCCCGATTTAAACCAACTGGACTTTTACTTTGGGAATATTGGAAACAAATGATTTGTCTAAATAAGCCGATTTCCCTCGAGCAATTGCAGCAGTATATTGTGAATGAACGCCACTCCATCACCACCGTAAGGTTGAAGAACCTGCTTGCCAACTGCACCAAGTGATCTCTGTACTGTAGTCAGGATGCAGATGGACCCTTTCAACATCCCCTTTCATGATATCCATGTACGTCTAAGCCTGCATGATATATATATATATATATATATATATATATATATATATATATCGTGCAGCTATTACACTCGGACTTAATTCTATGAGCATTGCCTTCTTCTTCAGCAGTCTGTGCCAGTCCGAACGCCTTGAAAAGTTGGGGGTATCCGATGCGTTGATGAGAGCCTACATATTAGAGACATTGTTGTAAATGTTCTCCAATCCACACCGGAGGCATAAGTAAGAGATTGTTTGAGTGCTTCGACACGTCGTTTATAGACAACTTACTTATCTGTCATGATGTCATTGTACACCGAGCTTCTTGCATTTAGCAGAGGCCTCCGTTGCTGTACCGTGCAGCTTACCGATCCGTGACAATGCGTCTATTCTATGTAACGTCGATGATCTATATTTTGCTTCGACATGTCTACCTTTGTGGACTTCTACCCATATGACCACGAGACTTGGTCAGGCAGGTACTTCAACATGACAGCTGCTACTTTTACTGCAAAAGGGATGGACTTATCGTTTTTAATACATTAGTCCTTCTTTCCGCACACATGATTTGGGTTGTTTTGAATTAGGTATGTCATTTTCAGGTTGCCGTAAAAATGTCGGAAAGTGAAGATGTCGAATTGTTCAAATGGCCGTCTTAACAACCCGACGTGTTGATTGCCAGTTTTCGGTGTATTATTAGATGGCTGGGAACAACTAACGACATCCTGAACCAGCACGCCTAGGTCGTGTTCGACGTAAGATGACTGCAGTGCTTGCGTTCCGAGCATGTAGCAGTGAGTATTCTGGTGTTGTATGGTGAGTAGGTTGCATTTGCTTATGTTGAAACTCTGCAGATTTGTGTTTGTACAATGCGGTACCATGTCCAATTTCTGCTGCAGCATTTTCAGATCGGCCTCCGACTGAATAGTGCGCTATCTCTTGAGGTGGTCAGCAAACATAAGAAAAAGTGAACTCATTGTCGGTGCCAGGTCGTTGACAGATACCAAAAACAATCGTGGCCCTAGAACAGAGCTTTGAGGCATATCGCATTCAGCTTGTATTGGGTCTGATAACGGGTTTTGAACTCTAACCACCAGCTACCGTTGTAGAAAAACGTTGCTAATCCGGGTGAACAGGGGGTCACCGATGCCATAATACTACAACTTAGAGAGAAGAAACCGTTGATCCAGGCGGTCGAATGCCTTCGAGAAACCATGGAAAA